ATAGACAGATTCGAAACTAAATGAAGTTGGAAACACAAAATAATAACGTTAAACAATGATTAAAAACACCACCATTTCAAAACTACAACACACGTCAACGAGGTGGAGTACTTGGCAGAACCCATCTGGGTTCCATCTTTGCATATGGCGTGCTTCGGTTGGTTGTCGTGGTGTTTCCGCATCAGCCCGTATGTGTGGATTGCATTGATGTGCGTTTTTTTTTTTTGCGTTTCTGACACATTGAGACCGCAATTTGGCGTCGACCACTTAGGAGCACATGCTCTCTGCACCTTTTTCCATTGGACGTGTTGCGTACGTGGGTGTTGTACCCACGGAATAATTGCATCTTCGAAAATTTTGCGTCTGTCGTCGTGGCACCAGTCGCATATGGCCTGTATAGGGTTGGTATTGTACCCTCTAAGAACACAAACCTATCTTGCCTATAACTTCTACATATGAAGCATATGTATCAGTTGACGCACCCAGGCTAGATGAGGGGCACTGCCTACCAAGAATATGCAGCTCAAGGCGGCACGACTAGTCGCGCCAATGAGACAATCGCCACAAGGCTAGTCAAGATAATATAAGGAGTAGTACAAAGTCAGGTTCCTAGCAAGTGAGGAGCTACTCGAACTAGACCGAACAGTAAGCAGTGCCGCTGATGATCTTTAGGCGCAAGCTCCTTGGTAAAGATATCAGTTGTGTTGGCACCGGAGGCTAAGTGTTCTACGCGTGTCTGGCCGCGCTGCTGTAGCTCGCAAAGGAGGAAGTACCGCTGCTGGATGTGCTTCGCTCTGCTCTTTAGTTGAGGCTCTTGATGCATGAGGAGCATGGCCCTGTTCTCAGCGTACAGAACCGGGGCAGAGCAAGGCCGCTCACCAAAGTCAGTGAGCAGAAACGTCAGCTAGTGGAGCTCCTGTGCCGCCATGGCACCACCATAGATCTCAGCCTCACAATTGGACTGTGCAACAGACGACAAGCAGGTAGACCTCCATGAGATGGCGCCTGCACCAAGGCTAAAGCAGTAGCCCCGGGAAGACCTGAGCATCTCAGGATACTAAGATGGTATGCGAGATCTGGACGAGTGAAAGTCATTGGGTCATTGGAGACGCAGGAGGAGAACGAGGGGGGAAACGAGCTAGGGAGGAGTCCGGCGGAGGGAACACGGGGCCGTAGATAGGAGGAGGAGGCGGCGCTAGGGGAGCCTCGGGCGGTCAATCAGGAGAGGGAAGACTGAGGAGCTGAAGGGCGGAAGTTGGCAGCGACTGCCGCTGCTGCGGCTCCTGTTGCTGCTTCGCACCCATACCATGACCACATCTACCCCCAATACTCGCCTCGACAACACTTCCAGGACCAGCACCCCCAGGACTAGCACCCCCAGAAATAGAACCCTCTCCAACACCTGTGCCGGGACTTGCCACGACTGCACTCCCAGGACTAGCGCCTCCAGAATGAGCATCCCCTGTAGAACCAGCACCCAAAGAGCCAACACCCACATAGCCAACGGACCCATGCTGCTGCGGTGGCGACTGCTGATGCGGCAGTGGCTGCCACTGCTGCTGCTGCGGCGATGGAGGAGTTACCGTGGCCGATGGTGCAGGAACCGCAGAAACAGGCGGCGGACACCGAGCGTTAGGCCCCCGGAGTTAGCAGACTACTCCGCTGGGCCAACCGAAGAAAGGGGAGTGACGTGCAACCCTCCAAACTAGGCAGGATGGGGAGCAGGAGCTACCGGGGGAGTGGGAGCAAGGAACAGGGTTAGGGTAACCAGGAGACTTTGGTCGGGAAAATGGGTGTAGAAGGAGACAGACTCGTCAAAGGCGACGTCACGCGAGCGAAAGAACCGATAAGACGACGGGTGGTAAAATTCCCAGTCAAACACGCCAAGGAGGAAACCAAGGAATACACAAGGGACGGTGCAAGTAGTGAGCTTGTCCACACGAGAGTCGCGGACGTGGGCTAGGCAGTCCTAGACGTGAAACGCAGACACGTCACAAGGGAACCCAGTCCAGCGGAGGGTCAGCGAAACCTGCAGCTGTTGGGAGCACGGCCACAGGTTAAGCTGATGAGTGGCGTAGCGAACTGTGAATGACCATAAAAAATGGGGTGCACCGGCACGGATCATGGAGGTACGAGCCACCTTCATGACCAAACCGATGCGACGCTCAGTGATCTCATTCTGGTGTGGAGAGTCTAGCACGGTGTACGTCTGGGTAATGCCCTCCGCACGACAGAACTGGCCAAGGCAACCGGAGGCGAACTCACCACCACGGTCAGAGTGAAGGTGCAGCACTGGCTGGGCGAGGTTGACTCGTGTAGCTACAAGTCATGGGGTAAGAACGTCAGGCACGTCGCCCGTTTAGATGCCCGGAAGTGTGGTGGAGCTACGTGCAACTATCGGACCAGACAAGGGGTCAGCCAGGGCAATTTCTGCAAGGGCAGAAAGCGGCATGAGCGTGGTGTGGTTGCGAAAGAAGCAGGCGGACGCACCATAGTCCAGTGTGAAGGAGAGCGCAACGGTAGCGGAAGCTGGCGGGGGCACTAGTGTAGAGCCAAGGCTAACTAAGTCAGGAGGTCCTACCCCTAACGCAACAGGGGAGCCTAGACTACACACAGCAGATACACTTAAAGTAAGCAGCACAAAGTAATAAGGTCCGGTCACACTAGAGTCATCAGCATACATGACATATAGAGCAGAGCGAATGTGATCCGTATCCATCTCAAAAACTGGCACACGGCGACGTACCAGGTTGTGCCAGTCTGGAAGGTCCGGCTCGGGCCCGACATGGAGGCGGAAGAGGTCGTCGAGGCGGCGGAAGTAGCGGGTGGCAGTGTGACCGGGACGTTCACACACGGTGCCGCGACTGGGACCAGTCTAAAGCTGGTACTGGCAAGTCACCGCACTGGAGCCACCACCCGACGTCGAGCTGTGAGGGCCACCTGCGCGGCCACCACCATCAAAGCCACCTGCCCACCACGGCGGCAGGCCCCCCTACTGCTGCTGCTGCTGCGGCTGCGGCTGTTGCTGGGACTGCTGCTGCTGCTGCTCTGGGGCGTCATCCCCCACCCTCTCGTCTCCACTCCCGCCACCGCCATCCTCCCCGCCACCCTCACCACCACCAGCCCCCTTCCCTCCCTTACGTTGCCTCTTGGGGTGTCGGGGGGCTCTACCCTGACGCGGCTGCGCTGAGGCCGCCTTGGCGGTCGCAGCGACAGAGACTATCTCAGCGATAACAACAGAGATGTCAGAGTAAGTGCACTAGGAGGGAGCACAACCCTGGAAGATAGGGACCAACGCAGTACCGCTAGATTGAGCAATAGTGTGCTGGCAGGTGTCTATCGCCGACAGGGTGGCGACGAAGTCCCTAAGGGTGAGGTCAGCGAGGTGAAGACTGAGGAAGGTGTCGCGGGCAGTGGCTAGGCAATCAAGGAGGCACGTGGCTAAGAAATATAGCGTAGCACCGAGGGGGGAAGGAAGTACAATGAACTAATCTCAGTGCTAGCAGCGCGGAAGGTAGTCTCAAAGGCGCGCAGGTGAGTGGCTAGATCAACGACAGTTGGAAAGGATACGAGATCAGGGAAGAGTAGGGGCATGAGGAGACGGCCAGCAGAGGCGGAGGAGGGAGTGGAATAGCGTGCAATGACTTCAGCTTGGTACTCCTTCGTAGTCTCTACGGCCTGAAAGCGGGGACGCTCGGACAGGGGTAGGGCGTAACCGATAGTAAGCTGCGCAACGATGTCACGCGACTCCCATACAGAGTGGGCGAGCTCAGCAGCAGTGAAAGCCTTATGCTTAGTAGGCGTGGGGGCATAAGCGAGGGCAGTGGGTGAGGGCGGGCAAGGCAGCTTACCCTCGACGTGGACGGCCAGAGACTGGCCGTCCTGGTGCTGACCCTTCAGCTGGCGGTGCAGGTCGGCGAACCACGCGTCAAAGTCAACAGCCCGACGCTCCGCGTTCAGGTGAAGAATGGCGTCCGCCATCACGTATAGCTGCAGCAGCTGGAGAGCTTAGGCGGAGGAGGAGCAGGGGGCAGGCGGGTGTGGTGGAGAACGGTGGAGAGCGGAGGGGTGCGGTGGGGTGCCAAGGGGTGCATTGGGGTGGGGTGGAGTGCGGTGGAGTGCGGTAGAGTGCGGTGAAGCCGCAACAGAGAAGACAGCCGGCGGGAGCACCTATGCAGAGGAGAAACCAGGGGCGGCGTCAAGCTGGGGCCGGTAGTGAGTAGAGGCCGGCTGTGAGCAGGGGCCGACGCGACGAGCTGAGATAGCGCGGCGAGCCGAAGCCGATGCAGCTAGCTGGGGCGGCGCGGCAAGCTGGGGCCGGCGGCGAGCTGGGGCTGGCGGCGAGTTGGGGCCGGCGACGAGCTGGGCCCGACGGCGAACAGGGGGCCGCGGGGAGCTGGGACCGGCGGCGAGGTATGGGCCGGCGGCGAACCGGGGCCGACGGCAAGCAGAGGGGGCCGCGGCAAGCTGGGGCCAGCGGCGAGCAGGGGGGCGCGCAGCGAGCGGGGGCCGACGACGAGCTGGTGGCGGCACGGCGAGCTGGGGCTGGCGGCGTAGCTGGTGGCCGCGCGGCTAGCTGGGGCCGTCGCAGAGAGATAGGGCGGCGCGGCGAGACAGGGCCGATGCGGCGGGTTAGGGGCCAGCGCGGCGAGCTAGGGGCCAGCATGGCGGGCTAAGGGCCAGCGCGTCTCAGCGAGCTAGGGCCAACGCGGCGCGAAGGGCTAGGGCAGGCGTGGCAAGCTAGGGCGGAGCGCTCTATGGTAGGCTAGGGCGGAAGCATGGATGGGTGGGTCCTACCTAGCGTGATACCATCTTAGAGTAGCGAAGTGACTAGTACAACAAGATACAGGGGACATATAGGGTTGGTGTTGTACCCTCTAAGAACACAAACCTACCTAGCCTACAACTTCTACATATAAAAACATGTATAAGTTGACACCATCATGACCGCAATATTGCAGCCACGTACTTCATAATCTCAGAGTAGAAAGTTGACTAGAATGAGGCATACATGTTGATTTTGTTCAAGTGGTTGTACCCTCTAAGAGCATGCACCTATCTAGCCTATTATAACATATACAAATATGTTTGACACATAACACACGCCCCAAAACTACATCTTCATTATGTATGCACAATGCCTAGTCCTCCTAGGCTAACAAGCCTGACAGGATGGCCTGATTCCTCTACTACCGAACACCTACTCCAGATGACCCAAAGTAACAATCAAATCACGCAATATGAGATTAGGGGCGAGCTCTTTGTGCTTGAGGGGGAGGTGGGTAGCAGGGGAGGTGTCATGTGTTGCGAGCCATGCCTCTATCGCCTCCCTCTCATATGTCACCCCGTCTGCTGCCACCACTGGATCCCGCAGCCGTTGCTATTGGTGGACGGAGGGGGGAGGGAGGGGAAGGGGAGATGGAGGGGATGAAAGATTTGCACGTACGTTAGAAGAAAACGAGGAAGCAAGAGTTAGAAAAAGAAGGGGGAAAGCGGAGAGGAGGGAGGAAGAGAAGGGGGGAGGGGAAAAGGGGAGGGAGAGGGAGTGGGGGTCGAGGGGGGAGGAGCCTACATGAGACAGTGGGCAGAAACGACTCTCCAGCTGCTCCTCCTGCTGGGCCTTCACCTCCTGCCCCTCCTTGGCCACAGCAGCCAGGGTCGGGTGCAATCCGTTTCCAGAACAAGGAGCTTGCAACTCGCAACTTACACATGAGAGAGAGGTCTATTTTTGAGGCGCCTAAAAAAAAAGCAACTCGCAACTTACATGAGAGAGGGGGCAGATGAATCGGCTTTCTAGCTGCTCTTCTTGGCGTGCCTTCACCTCCTGCCCCTCCTTGGCAACTGCAGCCAGGGTCGGATGCACCACTGCCTCCAGGTCCGGCCGATCCACACCGCGCCGCTCCACGCACTGTAGCGCCACGCGCAGTGCCCGGGCAGCTAAATCTCTCGGCCACCTGCCCGCCCGCTTGTCGAGCCGCTCAGCGAAAAAAGGCACGGCAATATCTAGGTTGCGAGACTTGAGAGAGGTACGGGAAGAGGAGGAAGAGGAGTGAGAAGTTGACGAAGATGAGGAGGAGGAAGGGGGTGGGCCAGTGCTTGAGACTTGCCCCAGCAGTCGGTGCACCTCCTTCACATCCTCTATCCCAGTGAACAGTAACAGCAGCACCACGCCCAGTGCAAACACGTCCGAAGCTGCAGTAACCTCCCCGGAAACCACCGCATCAGGGTCACAAAACCCGAAGGTGCCGCGCACCTTGAAAGTGATATCCAGCTGCCCCTGGGGGAAGAGACTCACGAAGCTGAGCCCTGCGAGGCCGGAATCGGAGAGCTTGCTGGTGCCGATAAGGCTTAAGAGGACGTTTTGGGGCTTGAGGTCTGAGTGGAGGATGGGGGGGCGGTGGGAGTGGAGGGAGTGGAGCGCGGAGGAGATCTCAGAGGCGATGCGCAGGCGGTCGTGCCAGAGGAGGGGCGGGGGGAGAAGGGAGGGCGTAGGGGCGTTGGCTGGCTGGTGCTGCTGGCTCTGCTGTGTCCTTTGCTGCTGCTGTTGCACCAGTTGAGGGTGCAGTCTGCTCCACAGGGACCCCCCTCGCATGAGCTCATAGACCACAGAGAAGTCCTCTGGGCAGTACCCCACCATGGCCACCACGTGGGGATGCCGCACCCCCCCCAGCACCCCCACCTCCCTCCAAAACGCTGCTGCCTCTGACGACGTGGCAGCTGACGTGGCAGGAGGCCCATTACCCCTGGGCCCAATCCCCGGACCCTGCAGGCGTTTGATTGCCACGTGGCAGCCTAGCAGCTCTCCCCGGTACACGCTTCCCCCGGTGCTGCCCCCTGTGCTACAGCCCAGCAGGCGAGAAGGGCTGAAGCCGTCAGTTGCTGCCAGTAGCTGCTGCAGAGTAAACACCTCACATGGGTAGGTTGACAGGTCGGGTGGGGGGTTGGTTGATAGGTCCTGCTTGATACTGGCTGAGTGGTCCTGGGAATGAGTTGGATCGAGTTGCTCCTTTGAAAGCACCCGATTGCTGCTTGCGCTTCCTGGTGCTTCTGGTGCTTCTGCTGCTGCCGCTGCCGCTGCCGCTGCTGCTGCTGCTGCTGCTGCTGCCGCCGCTGCTGCTGCTGCTGCTCCATCTGTGCCTGACAGCAGCTCGGTACAGGTATTGCTACTGCTGCTGCTCCTGCTGGCATTGATAATGCTCGCATTGCTGCTGCCGCCACTGCTGCTTCGCGGCTTTAGCCTGGTGTCACGACCGCCACTGCTGCCACTGCTGCCGCTCCTGGGCACTTTCCGCCTGCCCATAGCAAGATCCACAGAGTCTCTCCTCTCATCATCATCATCTGCCATCCCTGCCAGCACTCCAAAAGCAAATTCCGCCTGGGATTCCCCCTCCTCCCAATCCTCCTCCTCCTCCTCCTCCCCCTCCTCATCCTCCTCCCATTCCTCCTCTTCCCCTGCGATCCCCCACTCTCCACTCGTCCCAGCAGCACCTACTACCTCGTGTACCCTGCTCATACTAACCCTCCCATTTGCTGCGCCATCTCCTGCTCTCACATCTCCTCTGCCTCCTGCTGCTGTAAAAAACGACTCTGCTGCTTTTGCAGTGATTGCATCTCTGCCCGCCGCACTTCCTGCAGCCCCTTGCTGCTGGCTTGCAGAAACCCAAGACTCGGACTCTGAACCTTCTCTTTTAAACACACGAGAAGGCACGACCAAGGGTGCTGTTTTCGACTCGTTGCTGCTGCTGCTCCTGCTGCTGGTAATGGTAGGTCGACGGCTGCTAGAGCTCCCATCAGCTCCATCCCCTAGAATGTCGTCCCACGCCAGCTTCACCTCCTGCTGTCCCATGCGGTGCACTGGAAACCTCTCCAGCGTCCTTCTCTGCTGCTGCGGCTGGTGCTGCTGCTGCTTCGCGCCTGGCATCTCCCCGGATTGTGTTCGCAGTAAAGCGGCTGCTGCTGAAGCTCCTCTTACTTCTGCTTGCCCCTGCTCTGGCCATGCCACCTTTGCTTCCATTCCGCTTCCAGCAGCAGCAGCAGCAGCATTTTTCCCAGATCCGTCGACCCTGCTGCTTCTGCTGTTGCTGTTGCCGTGGCTGTTGCTGCTGCTATCTCCGTTACGGTTGCCACCTGCACTAGCCGACTGAGGGAACGCAGCGGTAGCGTGCATTCGCGCATTGCGCGGGGGAGAAGGGTGAAGAGGAGAAGCAGCAGGGAGGGGCGGAGGGGGGTTGCCCCGAGAGGGTGAGCGGGGGATTGGGGACTTGACTGCTGCTCGGCCATCCAGCAGCAGGGGATGAATACCAGACGAGTTACTGGTACCAATAATACCACTGCTGTTATTGACTGTAATACCACTACCACTGCTGTTATTGACTGTAATACCACTACCACTGCTGTTATTGACTGTAAAACCACTACCACTGCTGCTACTGACTGCTGCATTACCACTAGCACTGCCTTCCCCATAGTCCTTGCTGCTTCGGCCGATCTTACTCTTGCTGTGCCTATACTTGGTGATATCGTACGCGCCGAGCGATCGTGTCCGTTGGTACACATCGCCCCCTGAATCCAACGGAGGGGGGGACGACTGGGGGCTGAGGGGCGGAGTGCTCTCCCCCCGACCAGTTCGGCTGCCACCACTAGACGACTTGGGGAACAGCATTCGTGCGGCTGCACGCCCCAGTCCCAAACCAGAGCTCAACCGAGCCCCTGAACCCGAACCAGAACCCGAGCCCGAACTTGAACCCGGGCCAGATGCTTTGGTTGTGTGACCAAGCCTAGGGGATGAACCCAAACTTGTGGCTGCCGAACCTGTGGCTCCTGAGGCTGTGGCTGCCGAGGCTGCAGCAGTGGTACGCGCGTGGGGGTCAGCACTGGCGCTAATGCTATCATTGGTGTTGGGAGTGGCACTACGACTGCTGATTCTCTCGCCACCACCATGCACACAGCTACTGTGATGATGATGCTGCTGCTGCTGATGATTCTGCTGCTGCTGATGCTGCTGCTGCTGCTGCTGATGATGATGATTCTGCTGCTGCTGCCTGTTGTTACGGCACATATCAGCAGCGTCGTAAGACTTGGATCGGTTGCAATGGACGGATGGAGCAGCAGCAGCTGAAGACGAGGAGGACGAGGAAAAGGAGGAGGACGAAGAGAGGGCTGGTGACTTGGTGCTGACGTGGCTGCTGCGGCTGCTGACTGCGTCCAGCTGGCGCTGCATGAGCTGTTCAAACACGTCATCCTCATCGTCGCCCTCGTCAGCATCCCCGCCAGAACCCCTATCGTCATTATCACTACCACCACCATCCCGCTTCACCTCCTTTTGCCCACCGCCAGCACCAGCACCAGCAGCAGCAGCAGCAGCGGGAGCGACCCCAGCAGCAGCAACCGCCCTTCTGCCACTGCTCTCCCAGCTTTCCCCACCCACACCCATCTCTCGGCCCCCAGTCTCCATAGCACTGCCCCCTATGCGCACAGGGAGTGCATCCCAGGCAGATATTGCTGAGAAGGGATGCTCCGGGGAGAGCAGCTGCGACGGGGATAGGGGCAGCTCGCTCACACTCGCACTGCGGAAGTGGCTCCAAAACACCCGCCTCGCCTCCTGCCCACTCCCACCTGCCCCTGCCCCTGCTCCTGCTCGCTCCCTCCTTCCAAAACCCGTTGACCCCCCCCCTCCTCCTCCACCACCGCCACCGCCGCGACCACCGCCACCACCGCCACCACCGCCGCCGCCACCACCACCACCACCGCCACCGCTGCCGCCACCACCACCACCGGTCAAACCACCACCGTGAGCCCCATCACTCACACTACCACCACTCCCAAAACCTCCACCACTACCTCCCAAACCACCCACCGCCTCCTCGCTTCCACCCGCTTTCCTGAGACCCCTCCCTGCTATGTCCCTGCCTCCCTCGCTTTCCTTATTTGACTCAAAAGCACCCCCCTTCCCTGCGGCTCTCCCTGCTACCTCCTCGTCCCTGGGAGTGGTGGGCGCTGACGCCCCAGACGCACCAGAGGCACCATCCAAAGAAAAGGCCCAGTCGTCAGAGGAGAACAGTCGCGGGGTGGTGGGGTTATCGCGCACACTCATGGGTCCGAACCGGCCGGCGGTGGCACGCGGCGAGGGGGACCTTCCCCCCGCCTGCTGCTCCTGCTGCTGATGGTCAACGAGGGGGTGGCTTTGGTGGTTGTTGCGGCCACGTGGCACCAGCACCACCCCCGTGTCTTCCTCCTTCTCCACCTCTCCCTCATCCGTGTCCTTTGAGATGGATAGGCGGCGGGGGCGCAAGGGAGGGCAGGAGGGCGAGAAGAGAGCGGTGGGGTGCGGTGAAGGCAGGTGCAGGGAGGAGCTCCGCTGATGGTGCCCTGCCCGCCTAGGCTCTGGTACTCCCCCTGCTGCACCTGACAGTGCACCTGACGCGGCACCTGGCGTTCCACCTGACGCTGCTGCACCTCTCCTCTTGGCTTTAACCCATTCGTCCCCCAGCTCTGCCAGCGCATCAGCCCCATCGTCTTGCCCCATTGCCCCCTCCTCTGAGGAACGCTGTACCCTGTCCAGCACTTGTTCCCCCTCACTTTCCCCCCCCTGGCTCTGCTCCGCCTGATCCCGTTTCCCCCACCCATCCACGTCTTGGCTGGACGGCACAATCACCCTCAGTCTACCCCCCTGATGCTTGCTCTCAGGAATCTCACCCGTCCTTCTCTCTCCCCCCCCTCTGCTGCCAAGTCCGCCCCGGCCACCTCTACCCGCATCGCTGCCACCAACAGCAGCACCAGCGCCACCAACAGTACTGCCAGCACCACCACTAGAGCCAACCACAGCAGCAGCCGCAGTAGCAGCACCAGCACCAGCAGGCCTCCTTTCTCGAGCCCCACTTCCCCCCGGCAAAGCTGCACCTGAGGAAACCGAGCGAGGAAACCCCCTGCCCCCACCCCTGCCCCTACCCCGTCCCCTCCCATCACCACCCATGGCAGTAGCACCAGTAGCAGCAGAACCTGCGGTGCTTGTAGGGGTGGGGGGACCGTCAATCCCTGCCTGGGAGCGCTTGGAGCGGCTGAGCGTGCGACTCCGAAGGGGGGCCTTGGGATGCACGCCTATCTCTGCCAGCTTCCGGGACCCCTGGGAGATCACAAGCAGGCACCCGTCCGGCAAGTTGGTCTCGTAGTAGGCTGTTGGTGCGTTGTTCAGAGCCTTGGACCACAGGAATTTCCTGTACAGGTGGAAAACCAGGGGGAGGGGGGGGGGGGGGGGGGTGCGGTGAGAGGTGCGGATGCAGTGGTCTCGTAGTGGGCCGTCGGTGCGTTGTTCAGATCCTTGGACCACAGGGACTTCCTGCGGGAGTGGAGAGAGGAGGGAGGTGTTTGTGCATTATGGTAGGTCTGTCTTCTGTGGACTTGGTTCTGTGCACATGCTGCATGAAGTACATGAGCGCACATGCTTCATGCCGTGGACTTCATTCTGTCTGGTACGCTGCAGCATGTGCACTCTTCTGAGGCGCCTCAAAAGCATTTGCCCATACCCAACTCCTTTCTACTCCTCCGTCCTTCACACTCACCTACATTCCCTGATCTTGTAGCCTTGGGCGGCAGGGAATCGCTTGATTTGACTGCGTCACAGAGGGCCTTCCAACAAGCACCCTGCGACTGCTGCTACAAAAACTAGAAAAAGCACAAAAGGCGGGCCGCGGGCGTATTCTCAAGCCTCGCACATGTGCACGCACTCACTCACACACGCACGCACTCACCGTCTGACCCCGATGTAGACTCGGGACGCGGAGAAGCGCTTGACGGCATCGCAGAGGGACTTCTCGTGGTCGCTGCTGCGCTCCAGATGCATCACTGCCCTTACCTAGGGGAGAGCAGGGGTAGTTGGGGGGGGGGAGGGGGGAGGTGGGACCAGTCAGGCAGAAGGGCTGCGTTGACTCGAGGAGGTAATTTATGACTTTCAAGAATGACCGCAGAGGGCCTTCTCGTGGTTGTGCTGCGCTCCAGATGCATCAGTGCGCGCACCTGCGCGGATGGGGAGGGGTTGAAGGAGGGGTAAAGGGATACGTGGGGTGAAACACCCCTCTTTGCACCTCAGCACTGTGCATCGCAGAGGGCCTTCTCATGGTCGCTGCTGCGCTCCAGATGCATCGCTGCCCGCACCTGGGGGAGGGAGGGTTCAAGAGAGGTGTGAAGGGGATACGTGGGTGACGCACCGCACTCCTCAGCACTGTGCGTCGCAGAGGGCCTTCTCGTGGTCGCTGCTGTGCATCACTGCGCGCACCTGGGCGGAGGGGAGGGGACCAGGTAGGCAGAAGGGGTGGGTTGTCAGAGGGGGAGGGGGAAGGGCATTGCAAGGGTCATATTCCATAAGCGTTTAGCCCCCCCTCGTGGAATATGGAATGCCATGCATTGCGTTACGGAATCATCACCGTTCGCAGTTGCTCGGGTTCAGGGTGCACGTTTTCCAGCTGCTGTTTATGTGCGATCCCCCCATGCTGAATGTGTGCGTCCCGTCCCTTACCCCTTCTCCCTCCCTCGTCGATGTGTTCCTCACCTGTCAACTGCATGCGTCACATGTCGACTGCTCATCCCTCACCCATCACACTATGCGGCTCTCACCTGTCGGCTGTGCGTCAGGGCCTGCAGCGGCTGCAGCATCTTGCAAATCGCAGCCTCCTCTGCCTCGTGTGTTCCTTACATGTTAAACGCGTCTCTCACCTGCCTGCTGTGCGCGACTCACCTGCCTGCTGTGCACGACTCACCTGCCTGCTGTGCGCGACTCACCTGCCTGCTGTGCGCCAGGGCCTGCAGCGGCTGCAGCATCTTGCGAATGACGGCCTCCTCCGCTTCCGCTAGCCTCACTGCCTCGTCCATCGTCATCGAGTGACGCACCATGGGGGCTGGGAGGGGGGAGGGGGAGGAGGAGGAGGGGGAGGGGGATGGGGAGGGGGAGGGGGAGAGAGAGACATGGATGGGAGAGACAAGCATGGGTGCGCATATGTGCTGCTGTGAAGGCGCCATAATTACGGCCTCCTCGGCTCCTGCTAGCCTCACTGCCTCGTCCATGGTCATCGAGTGCCGCACCATGGGGGCTGGGAGGGGGGAGGGGGAGAGAGACATGGATGGTAAGAGAGAGCATGCGTGAGAGGAAGTGTGCTGACACGAATGCCCCACCCACGGGGCTGCAGCAACTTGCAAATGACGGCCTCCTGCGCCTCTGCTAGTCCATTGTCCCTCACCCATCGCACTGCCTCGTCCATTCTCATGGAGCGACGCACCATGGCGGCTGGGAGGAAGGAGGGGGAGAGGGAGGGGGACGGGGTGGGGGACGGGGAGGGGGAGGGGGAGGGGGAGGGGGCGGGGGAGGGGGAGGGGAGGGGGAGGGGGAGGGGGAGGGGGAGAGAGAGACATGGATGGGAGAGTCAAGCATGGGTGCGCACATGTGCTGCTGTGAAGGCGCCATAATTACGGCCTTCTCGGCTCCTGCTAGCCTCACCACTTGGTCCATTGTGATCGATCGACGCACCATGGGGGCTGAGATCGGGGAGAGGGAGAGATACATGGATGGTGGTGTGTGTACGGATGTTATGCACGCACGCGTGGATGCACGCACGCGTGGATGCACGCACCCGTGGATGCACGCACCCGTGGATGCACGCACGCGTGGATGCACGCCGGTGCACCCATGAGCCATGAGCGCGCACAGCATACGCATAAATGCAGACACGCGAATGCACAGGCATGCATATACGAACGCAAACGGCCGCACGCAGATGCAAGTAGGCAAATACGTGAGCAAGCACACATCATGTGTGCAAGCGAAGTCGCGCGCTCGCATGCGATGATCACACGCTCATTCGCACGGTGCTGCACGCATCGACGTGAGAAATAGTAGGTCGGCGGGCAAACGACATTGGTCACGTACGTTCCTAAGTCACATGCACGTTTGCGCGGTGCTGCAAGCAAGCATCGACCTGGACCTGGAAATAGGTCGGCTATAAGAAGCTCGAGTAAAGCACATTCGCGCATGCTCGTAGTAATCTTATCGCGTACATGGAGGTGCAGTCGTGTCGTGCATAACGGCGACTAGAATAAACACGGGAAGCTCCGTGTCTGCTCCTGCGACTTCCGACGACCCGCCGTGCGACGGCCCCTGCGACGACCCGGGCGACTTTCTTAAGCTCTCCGCGTCGGCGAGGGCGACGGCGAGAGTGCTGCGACTGACGTCGAGCTGCGGAGTCACCTCGAGCACCCATTGCAGCCGCTGCTGCTCGACCGGCTCGGCCTGGCCTCGCGGGCTCGGCTCCTGCGACCACTTCCAACTCATCCTAGCGCCGTCGGTTCAGCTGGAATAAGCGCTTGAAAGAATAACTACGACTAGTTCAACTGGAGCTTAGTATCTTGCGACATGCGGAGAAGAGGCTCAAGGTTTGGCGAGAGGAGCTGGTGCACCACATTCTAACACACAGGGATGGACGACAACTAGACTGACTGAAAAAAGCAAGGGCAGACCAGAGACTGGATTTTGCTGATGAGGGAACAGCTGGAAGAGAGTGGAATGCTGCTGCTACTAGGCCTGAGTCCTGACCTGGAGCCTCAGGGCGTGTCACCAAAAATCGTTTTGGCAAAATACCATACTAAACCGCTCTATAGTTTTATTTTACCGTGTCAGAACGCAAAACATATTTGCGAACCGCAATCGGACGTACTTGAGTGACACGCCATCATTGACCATTGACCATTGACCATCTTGGTTCAGATTCTGAACTGAGGGGGTGTACACCCTTTCCACCCTTACGTTCGTAGCTATGCTGTCACAAATCACTCTTAACGTAGGAACTGCAATTCCTCATGGGCACTATCACCTACCTTACAGTCCGGATATGTGGGTCGAATTTGTAATCATGACTGACCCTTGAACTGTGGGCCTTGTCTGTGGTCGAGAGAACTAGGCCAGCTCAGCATATACAAATCATACTGGAACAGAGCAGAGCAAGCTCCAAGATTGTTGGAATTTGCTCTGTTCGAGGGGGCTTGTGCTACGCAGGCAGAGTTGTGCTAAGTTGAGTTGTAGTGCTATATGTTGTGTACTGTACATGGTCGGTGCCCTTGGTGTATATTGCGATCAGAAGTCGCAGGCATTTTAGCACATGTTTGTGCGTCGTTATATGGGCGCCTTGCAAATCCAAGAACGGAAACCACTCAATAGATCAGAAACAAGAAGCATCAGTTGGTTGCGAAAGTATATAAATGTGTGATTGGCCGATATACAATCCCTAAAGTCACGAAGCACATTGAAATATGAAATTGGTGCAGGGAATATAGAACACTGATTGAACTTAGTTAGTATTTATGGAACGAAGCCTTATAGGACATCGCGTTAAAATTATGCGGTTATGCGCACTGCGCAGAATTTCTGACTGAACCGGATGCGGTGCGGATAGGTTTGTCACGATTCTGACGCGAGGTCGAGTCCGACGTGAGCTGTGGAATAGGTGTTAAAGTCTGAACTAGGAAGAACAGAGGAGGCCGCCATGAAATGGCGGCCAAGGGTTTAGCTAGGAGCTGGACGAGAGTGTCGAGAGAGAAGAGATGTAGACTAGAAGAGAATGAAGTACAAGAAGGGGGTTGTCCCCCCTACAGTAGGATGCAGTTAGTAGCATAACTACCAAGCCTACAATTATATAAAAATATAATTTGAACAATAGGCTGTGCCTAACTTCGCCCCTTTGAGCACTGATTCGTCAAATTTCATGTTAGGGGGATGTGCATATTCGCGTCTGGTTCCAAGTCTGGTTCCTAGCTTACCTGGTTTGGAAACAACAAATGGAATCAACTCGCTTCCTTCTATTGGTTTCTAGGTGATGTCAGCGTCGACTGGGGATCATATGGACCAGTTTCGTATCAATGGGTCAAGAAGAGGGGCACGTGCATGTCGTAAATATCGTCGACCAATTGGATGTGATCTTGACCATGTTTATGTGAATGTCATAGTTTGAGACTATTATTGTATACACTTATACGATTGGTGGAACATCGTGCACGCTGCGTTTGCGGGAATTGCGCATACCGAATCGTTGCCCTGCGCGAATGTTTTCCTTAGGGGTTGTTGCACTAGTCGGGTCTAACTTGTACACCATAATGCTTCATTTGCCTCAGAGAAACTGGTTCCATGCTTCAGGCCGCAAAAAAAAATCAAAATATCGAGAGAAAAAATATAGAAGAAGTGTACTAAAGATGTCGAAATGAAGGTGCTTCGCACTTCAATCTGTATGTACTACAGACGAAGCTCGTCAGAGTCGCACAAGATTCAATGGTGCCCGAGATTCAATCGCTCAAGTATTGCGCATGCCCTCGCCATGACAAATGAGGCTTTCGCACGAGTAGACGGCGAAATGGGTGGGTATTTGGGGGGCTTGTATGGCGATGTTTGTTGCTAGTGTGCGACTCTTGTGAAACGATCAGGCGACGGCAGTGCACAATTCCGTGGCGACGAAACCTCGTGAGCAACGACTTGTCCCTTGCTACATGTTGGTCGCAGACGAAATCATGAGTGACTCAAACGGATCTGCCATTGCCCGTATATCGAGGGTTTTGGGAAACGATTCTGATTGGGTGCCAGGTTGAGCTGCGATAAGGTTGGGCATCATCTGTACACACTACGGTCGACTGCACGCAACCGCAAATACATCGGTTATACTCTATGCTCCAAATCCGCGACTCGCAAATATGGACTACGACGAATAGGAGCGGTGCGCAACGAGCAAACTAGACAATAGAGTAGGACGAGGGATTTTAGGTGGGGTGGCGTAGGCCGTTTTACTCGTTCTGTTCACGATGCGTGCCTTGGCGTATTGGCCATTTGGGCCAAGTTACCAGCGATTTCGCCGCGTGTTATGTGAAGGCTCATGCGGCCTCTTAAAAAACACTCAGCGAATTTGTCGTCTAGTCAGAAACACGCGGACAAAAAAAGTCACACCTCGTTCTCGACCTTCCCACAACCAGCACATGCTTAAAACGCGCAAAACAAATAATTTGGAAAACCCTTTTCGTGGTCTAACGAAAGGGGCTAAACGGAACGAAATTTTGACGACTTAATTGAGCAGTTTCGTTAACCAACCACACGTTTTTACAAAAGCGAAAAATACCTTGAGAAAATCATTTTCGAAATGTGCAGTTGTTAATGGTGATTAAGGGAACGAGTATCGTGTTTTCGTATTCGGGACGGACCTGTCCGTGTCATATAGGAAGCCTGAATATTTACGTGATTGGTTCAAAAAAATAGAAAACACCTCGAATGCGCTTGATACGAGGATTAAAATATGACCGTAATCGTAAGACAGAATGGATGAAAATGTTTGCACAATATACGTGCCTGCGTACAGCTTCCTAATTTTCCAAATGGGGATATTTTATTGGCCGTTGGGTCGCCATCTAGATTGCGACCCCAATTTGTTGCGACTGAGTCGCATACATGGCGGTATTGGATTTCGCGAAAATAATCTGGTACTTTCGTCCAGCCACTCTCAAATTGCAAGGAGCCTCGTCAGAAACTTCATTGGCAGACAGGGCATTTTGCGACGTTGACCGTACGCACTACAGTAGTTGTACTCCGTACGATCGGAGTATAGCGTGTTGGATCCTACCGGTTTATGGACGTTAGGATAGTATCTGGACAAAAATGTCTAGGACTTGATGGCATATCCGCTGTACTGTTCTTCCCATTTAGGACATTTCACTGAAGCCACACTCCGGGCACCACTTGTCTGCGCGGCTTCAGGTCAGGCCTAACAGCTCCCCCACACAATTCAGTGCAGTCACGGTTGCCCAGCTGACATGGAGGGCAGATGACCGAACCAAGCCAGATCCTTTGGCAAAGTTAACGAGCTGTGCGAAAGCTGGCGAGAAGTCTCGGACCGTCCATTCCAGCAATGCGAATCCCAAGGCGAAGTTTGACGAGAGCATAACCTGCTGGGTGGTGCTTGCCCTGCTGGAAGTCTGGATCAGATCGGAGCTATCAGCGTCCAGCGCAAGAACCGTCCGATCTTGACGACAATTGAGGTACAGATTCAGGGCGTGGAACATACGGCTCTCAAGTTCGAACTTCCACCACTCCACATCCATTTAAAAAATGCCAGAACTCAACTGAAACTTACCAACCGTATTCCACCTCGCTCGAAGATCGAACTGTATGTTCCACGCCCTCACATTGTACCAACGAAAATGCTTGAATCGGGGATCCAACTGTCACGGTCCCATTACTAAATCTATAATTCACTACACCAGACAGAATAGTGAGACTGCTTGAATACACAAGCTGATGATATTTGGCTTTCGGAGTATGACAATGCTCCCTCAAAGGAGGTGTAGCTAGTCATGTCCACTTGAAAGAGAAGATGCCCTTATACTTCTTCCCTTATTTTCATCCTCCTCTTCAGCCTCCTCATCCTGCCTTGTCTCCAAGAACTCTGAAACAACAAAATCCACATTGAATTGAAGGAGCAAACGGGGAAAGAAGTGTTCAACATCATACTATACAAAACGTGTTGGGTGGAGAAGTGACACCAACAAATCGAAGGAGACTCTACCTTGCTTGATCAAGTAGTTTTCCAGTTCAGTCGTTGAGAAGTTGTCACGATTTCGAAACGCCTCAAACCCAATTATTCTATGGCAAGCAACAGCATCCCTGCATGTGATGACACACAAAAGATTAGCACATCTCGATTGCCATCACGCTGGGATCTCCCATCACTGCTGTCTCGACCTCCAGTCCCTACATAACACCCATTCCTGTCCCTCTCATTGCTGTTGGCACAGCTGAATAAACATGCATGCGGGTCATACACGTACGAACCTGAATAGAATCATGCACGGTAGAACTTTGACGTTTAGTCTGGACACAAAGAAAGGGCATTTCTGTTGCGGACATGAAAAGAACAGGAGGAATGCAAAAAGGACATGTGGGACGGTTGGGGAAGCTGGAAGAAGGGAGATGAGGGAACAGTAGGAGACCGGAGGAACGTAGAGCAGGAAGGGGGGAAGCCATGGGTCTTTCGTTGCGAAGAGTGAAAGGCTACATGGATAGGTTGTGTTTGCTACTCTCGTGGACAATCCTTAAGACAAACGTGTGGGCCACTTATCAAGAGGCTTACCTCTGCGTCAATCTTCACAAATTTGGCCTCCAAGTGCTTCGGTGCCAGAATGGCTAAATGCTTGTCAACGATTCTGGCGTTGTCAATGCGTGCAGGAAAAAGAAGAAAACGACGATTAGATCCGAGAAGGTTGACCAGAGAAATCAATGCACCGAGGGTGTCATCACATACTTGCAACGAGGGAACTCGGCGTGATAGAAGTGGCAGAGGACGTATTCGCTCGACTTGACCTCTGGTAGAAACTCTTCCTCCGTGATCTGAAAAGGTGCCGAACGTCCATCAGTCATGTCAGTACCCTTGCTTTTCCCTGAATATCATTGTGTACGTTCGAGTTTTCTCACCTCCCGGTACTCCCCATGTCCCTTCTTCCGTAGATTTTCACGCTTCCTGGACGCGGCCTGAGGGAACGACAATGGTGACAACAACAAGGACAGCTGTCAGCCTTCCTATGACGAAGGTCCGTAAAGTTGGTGAGGTACAACTGACGGAAGAACGAGTACTTGGTGTATTCTCACCATCATGGACTGTAGCCGTTCCGCATGAAGCTTTTCAAGCTCAGGGTCCTACAAGAGACGGGTAAAATGACAAAAAGTGCATGATGGGAAGGACAATGCTAGTGAATAGAGCTGGCCGTAATAGAAGTTTGGTATCGTCAGACGTTTCGTACGATGCATTCTACTGCTTACATCGGCAAGGTCGTCGAGATCGAAATCATCGTCGGCCGTTGCGGGAGCTGTCTTTTGGGATGATTGAATCTCCTGTATGCGTTGAGGACAGGAAACCAGACGCATAAACGATTTGTTGAGCACACCTGCTTCCGCCCTAAGGATAAAAGATGCTAATGTTGAGCACATATAAAGGCGATGAGGTCGAAAACGAAGACTCGGACGCATTTGTCACCTACTTTCTTGAGATCGCGTGCTGCTGCTGCAATAACGTTGCCGAAAGCAATATTTCCCAGGCGTGAAGCTACCTCTTTCGGATCTGTGCAATCCATGTTGCGTACACTATATACGGGTCTGCTTCAAAGCTTGATTCCTGTACTGCTATAAGAAACGACCACGAGCGGACAAAGCTAACAGTAAAGCATAGCTTTTGAATTCAAGTCCTTATCTTCATTCAGGGAAGAACGGAACGAAAATGAAGGCAATTGCTGAAGCAAGGAGTGTGAGAGAATTAGGAGAAGAGGACTGCTCCTCTGACAGTTCCAAGGTTGCTGGGATCTGGGCAAGCTTTGAGCCTGTGGCGGTTTGGGAAAGGCTCTGACACAAACCAGACCCGCCAAAACGGCCAGGACACCTGGCGGCCAGCCAGAGGTGGAGCGCGAAACAGCTGCGAAGACTATGGTAACCAGGATGTTGCGCATGCTTAAAGCGAGCGGACAGACCAAACTCAAGACTCGAAGGTTTTGAGTTATACTACGCACGAAAACAAACGCGACAGAAACACGGTAACCAAATACGGGGAGCGATTTTGAGATTGGGGGAGGTGACGTGCTATGCGACGCTGGCCCCAACCTAGCGACAGAACGAGCAAGGCTTTTCCCCCCGCAACACCAAGATCCAAAGCTTTTGCTGTTTACTCTGTACTTCCCCACCATCCTCGCTCGCGAACACAATGCTCGTTATGAATTAATCAGAGTAATAACAGGTAGTGTAATGAAGGAGTCGTGATTCAAGAGTGTCGATACAAATGAGGGCCTAGGCATTTATAGGCACGAACAGAGCTAGCCGAGAACCACGCGAACAGGTTGGGGCGGTCCGGTTTGCGAAAGCTACGGAAGCGCCGCGCGTCTAGGTTTGGGATCGCGAAGTGGTTTGGGACCGAAGAAGTTGGCCGGGCCTGGACTTCCGAGAGTCCATGGCGTACGCATTGTAGTCGAGCCCAGTAAGGAAAAAGGAATTTCCTTACACCACCCCCCCTTCCGGGATGAGACTCCCTAATTCCGGGACACATCGTCGGTGTAAAAAGTCCCGGACAACTCTGTTTTCACCGAGCGTGGCTGCGGGAACCTAGAGATCATCGTCACTGGTGCGCCCGACCCAGCATACAAGGGAATCGACGGCTGCTGTGTCTTGATGTCCTCGTACGCGATGAGCGAGGATCTTGGACGGCGCTGTCGTCGGCTCGGAAACTGGGTTGATTGTAGGATTAATATGTTGATGGTCGAGATTGGTCACACTCGGGGCGAACGGTCGCATGAGACTGGCGTGGAACGAATCGTGAATTCGCCAGTCGGTCGGCAGTTGCAGCTGGGCGGTAACTGGTGTCACCATGCGAATGATGCGGAAGGGTCCGCAAAATCTTGGTCGTAATTTATTGGGGATTCCCAAATTCTAGGTGTCGAGCAGGACCAATTGCCCAGGGACAAGTGCTAAGTCTCGGCATCGTTGGTCAGCTTGCTGCTTAGCCCTCTGGTTGGCTTTTAAGATGGCATCGGCGACTTTTTACTGAGACTGTTGGACGAACTGCTGAGACCTTGGTGCTAGATTTTCTATCGGTGGTGATAGAGGGGTTGTTGGATATATCCCATAATCAAGGAAGAACGGGGACTGAGTACTCGTGGCCGATGGGGCATTTTTGTACGCAAACTCGATCAAGGGAAGGGCGTCTTCCCATTAGGCCAGGTCTGTGCATGTCGTGCGAATCAGCTGCTCCATCGTCTGGTTGGTGCGCTAGTCTGACCATCCGATTGCGGGTAGTACGCCGTAGACAGATGCAAATGTGTGCCGTACTGCTGCCATGTTTTTGTCCATAAGTTGGACGTGAACCGTGGGTCACGATCGCTGATGATTGCCGTACGATGTTTGTGAGGAATGTTTTCGCTGTCTGCTCGGCAGTAGTTGTCGTTTTGCAGGCAGCGAAACGGGTCATTTTGGTCAACCGGTCAACGGCGACAAGGATCGTGTCGTTACCGCTTGAACCAGCTGGCAGGCCAGTGACGAAGTCCATCGTCACTTGTTGCCAGGGTCGGCTGGGTGGCTCGAGCGGCTGCAGCAATCCAGCAGGTTGAAGTCGAGAAGACTTCATGCGTTGACACGTAGCGTAGGAGGTGACGTACTGCTGCACATCTGTTGGTAGGTTGGGCCAGTAATAATTACGGCTCAGTAATTTTGTGGTTTTGTCGATGCTGTAGTGACCCGAGAAATTAAAGTCATGTGCCTCATGGATCAGTAATTTTCGCAGGGTACGGTAGGTGGGAACCCAAATCCGATTGGTACCGGATTTTAGATAATGGGTCCCTTGCTAGACCGTCTGTTGGGGATGAATGTTAGTGGTGAAAACTGGGTCAGTGCTGTATCCGTGGGTGAATAGGCCAGTTAGCAGCGGATTAGCTTGGGTAATTAGGACTGCGGCTGTGTGGACCGAGGGGCGGGTCAGTGCGTCGGCGATGTTGCTAACCCCTCGTATGTAGGTGACTTTGTAGTGGAAATTGGACTCGAGGTAGTTGAGCCAGCGAATCTGTCGGGGATTCAGTGTCGGTTGGACGCGGATGAACTGTAGCGACTTGTGGTCTGTTTGGACTGTTACGTCAATGCTTGTCACATAGCAGCACCATACTTTAAAAGCGTGAACGATAGCAAGTAACTCCTTGTCGTGGACAGGATAATTTCGCTCGGTCGGGTTCAGCTTTCGTGACTCATATGCAATCGGTTATAGGCCTTTGCCGAAGTCTTGTAACAGGACTGCGCCAACGACCAGATCGCTAGCGTTGGTGATGAGCTCGAATGGACGGTGAGGATGTGCAATCCGAAGAACCGGCGGTGTAGTCAGGAAAACTTTGAGCTTTTCGAATGCAGCCTGCTGCTCGCCCCCCCACAAAACAATCGTGCCCTTCATCAGGAGATCCGTGAGAGGGGAAGTTACCCCCGCCATGTTCGGAATGAAACGGCGGACGTAATTAACAAACCCTAGAAAACTCTGAAGTTCACGTAGATTAGCCGACGACTTCTAGTCTTGGATTGTCACAATTTTCTTGGGGTCGATTTTAACATTGTCGATGGAAATAAAGTGACCCAAGAACTCCTGTTCATGTTTTAAAAACTTGAACTTAGATCCCTCGGTGATGAGTCTGTTCTATTACAGGAGAGAAAAAATTGCTTCCAAATCCTTCAAATGCTGCTCCCGGGTTGTGCTGTAGACAATGATGTCGTCGAGGTACACGGTGATGCATTTATCCCGTAGTGGCCGAAAAAATTCGTTCAAAGTCACCTGGAATGTCGAAGACGCATTTGTTAAGCCGAATGGCAAGACCGTGTACTCGTAACCCCTGTACCGAGTCCGAAAACTTCGTCTTGTAGTAGTCAGCTTTGTGCACGCGAAGTTGGTGGTAACCGCCTCGCTGGTCAATCTTCGAGAAAAAATATGGCTCCGCGAAGTTGGTCGATGAGGTCGTCTGCACGTGGGATGGGGTAGCGAGACTTTCTGGTAAGCCGATTCAAGGCGCGGTAGTCGATACACATACGTAGACTACCATCTTTCTTCGGGGAGAACAGGATTGGAGCTGCAATGGTGATGTGCTGGGGTGGAGGAAACCTTTCTCGAGCAGGTAGTCAAGCTGGCGTCGAAGCTCATCTAACTCGAGCTGAGTCACCTGCCATTGGGTCCAAATAGTAGGTTGCGCGCTACGTTCGAGCTCGATTTTGTGGTCATGCAGCCGCTGGGGTGGCAAGCCCGCTGGTAGGTCGTCTGGAAAAATGTTGGCATGCTTCCGAATCACTGTTGCCAAATCATCAGGTACAGCTGCACATAGTTTGTAGATGTCGGTCGGCGTGTCGACAGTCGTTGATGCGATTCATCGGACGGCATACAGTTGCGCTCCTCGAATCATCACGCGCTTTATAGTCACTGTGCTGACTGTCGATGTTGTCGAGTCTTGACGGCTCAACTTGGGTAGCCGTCGCCACTCGCCACTCCACTTGATGCGACAATCGCCCGTCCGTGAGTCGATGCTCAGGTTGTATTCACGCAGCCAATCGCGTTTTAGCAGCATGTCCCACCCGTCCAAATTTTTGCCAGCATCTTCGTCGTGAAACTATTTTTTCGCCACAGGTGACTCGCACGTGAGGCACGCGCTCCCGAATCGCCTGTGGGGTGCCGTCAACCAACCTTGCGTCGATTTCGGGCATGCAGCGTTCTAGCTGCAATCGGAGTTTCTTCACTTTTGTCACATCCATCAAACTGTGGCTTGCCCCACCATCAACAAATATTTTGATGCGGGTGTCGCCAACTCTTCCTTCAACCAGCACAGGGCGATCAACCGGTTCACCTCCCTTATTCAGCCAGGAATGGTCGATAGCCCAAATAGGCACTGTAACCTGGTGGGGGTGTTGGTGTATTGGGCGACGCAATCAAGTCAGTAGGTGGCCCATCTGCTACTGACGATCTCCATTTCCCGACTGCTTCCCATCGTTAGCTAAGCTCTTCTTCAGCTGCGGGCTGTCCCTCACCATGTGGCCCGGCTGGTTGCAGTGGAAACAACATCCGGAAAATACCCGGGCTGCAAACACGTCCACGCCGTTGATTGATGTGTGTTGGGGTTGGCCTTGAAAGCAATTTCCCTCCCGGAAACCCGCCCTCGCGAGTCCACGCCTTGCGTGCAGGGCATCCACGATTCGGACAATTTTGTTGAATGTTGCCGAGGCTCACAGGACGATCTCTTGCTGAATCTCTGGCTTGAGACCACCCACGTAGCGATCGATCTTCTCGTCTTCGCTAAGCCCTCAAATTTGATCGCGTAGCACTAAGAATGAAGCCGTGTATTCTTGGACAGAGCCCAACTGTCTCCACATTCGAAGCCTTGTGCGAGCATTTTCGTGCATGGATATGTGCTCGAATCGGCTCTTCAATGCTTCACCCCACGCTTTCCACGTGCAGATTGTTGCCGACCCAAAGATATATTCTGCTTGAGCCGTTGATGAACCGTGCTCCCCATCTACCGCCCGTGGATTCCCTACCAAGGCTCCTCCCTCGTCTAGATGCATGCACCACCAGTCGAGTGCCGGTCCCCTCAGAAGCGACACAACCAAGTTGACACATGACGCGTTGTCATTAATACTTGCTGCTGTGAAGAAGATTTCCATGGCGAACAGCCAACCGCTCATTGTAGGTGTTCTGTCGGTCGGGTTGAACAGCGGTGGCATCGGAGGTTTGATTATAATGGCCGCCCGCAGCTCACTGTGGACTTCTTCAACCACTTCAGGTGTCGCCAATGCCCTCGCTTCGCTCGCAGCATCTTCGTCTCGGGTAACAGGCCGCCCCTGACGCATTTCACCCCGCGTCTGGCGAAGCGACGAGTTTTCGTTGCGCAGCACATGCACTTCGCTTCCCAGCGACTTGAAATTATCGGCGAGTTGTTGTAGCTGGGCCTGCAGTGTCGTCACTGTAGTCGCCCTAGCTTGCAACTCATCAAACTCCTCCCGAGTCACGTTCCTAACACTATGACGGGCAGAGGTTTCCGGCGTGATAGACATGCTGGAAATTTTTCCTGACAGATCTGAGGGTGCACACGCTTCTAGTTGGAGGAGCTTTAACGAGCTCGCCTACCAACCGCAGGCCAACCCTCTATTCTGTTGGGTCCTCTCCCGATATAAACGGACTACTCTACGGAAGACTAAGCGGGAAGGAACGGAGCTCTGATACCAGTTATTATGAATTAATCAGAGTAATAACAGATAGTGTAATAAAGGAGTCATGATTCACGAGTGTCGATACAAATGAGGGCCTAGGCATTTATAGGCCCAAACAGAGCTAGCCGAGAACCACGCGAACAGGTTGGGACGGTCAGGTTGGGTTTGCGAAGTGGTTCGGGACCAAAGAAGTTGGCCGGGCCTGGACTTCCGGGAGTCGAGGGCGTATGCGCTGTAGTCGAGCCCTATAGAGAATTTCCTTACAGTGCTTACCTCCTACTCAGGTGGCAAAATGGGGCTTAGTAGTAGTGAAACAGCTGTTTCGTACCAAATCGCACGCCGCATGCTTTTTTTTTAAGAAGGGGGTGAAAGTACACCCCATGAAAAACACCACCCACAGTCGTAACTGATTCTGGAGGGCCTAGGTACAGTGTACCGTACCCTCTCGGAATCTCAAATGCCTCAAACTTTCATCCTGCACAGAAGGAGTTCTTCTTGCAGAGTTGTCGCCCCTCAGCTGTCGGTGAACCACAAGGGGCAATTCTTGCCGAAAGCGGTGAGAAATGTTGCTGAAGCTGTTACTCCATTTTGTGAGCGGTTAAGAGTGGTTTTAGCTGTACATGCAATCAGATGCTGAAATGGTAGGTAGATCCCTGTTGCTGAAACTGCTCCGAGTCTTCTCTTACTGCGGCAAGGAGGGGTTGTAGCGGCTACTGCTTCGGTTCTGGCTCTTGCTTCTCGGACAGGTTCCCCCAGCAGTTCCCATGGTTGTTCATGCTTGCTGTGGGCAAATATTCCTGACGAAGGTCCCATCCGACTTACAACTGGGTTTACGGTAGTTGCGGCCATTAGCCCTCCTATTCTGCAAGCATGCCGACCGATGGTTTCAATCTCTTACACGTTCATATAACTCTCTTGTAGCTTCCTAGCTTCAAGATCCACATAGTCCACTGGCCTAAAAAGATGAAACTTCATGATGTCTCCTGCAACAGCATCCTTTGTCTTGTGATCATTCAGGCTTGTGTTGAAATATTACTCATCATCTTCATTTTCTTCTGAAGTCATATTAAAAGTAGGTATTTCCTCCTTGGGATCTGGTCCAGTCTTGGCCATCGCTTGGCGAGGATCCAACCTGCTCTTCACGTTGGTAAATCTGTCTTCCTAAAGCTTGTGTCGTTGAATGACAGAAAACCGGGATAGTATGAAAATGTTGCGTGGAGGAGCTGCCTTATACTTGTATCTCCATCCGGGATTTGGTACCTCCTGAGCACAACTGAAATGGATCAGTAGAGAGGTAGAGATTTTCCCAGCAGCTTCTTCATTTATACTGCACCGTCGCCTAAACTTCCAGCTTCTGTTCGCGGCACTTGTTTCCTTCAAGCGTATTGCTTGCTTGGAAAATGTCAGAGAGCAAAACGATGCCGGCTCTGAAGACTTCTTGAAGAAATCAGCTGACTGCATCTTGGGAGGAGTAGTCGTGGAATCATAATCCGCTGAAACTTGACTGGATCCATGGTTCTAAGACGTTGAAACATAAGGATAAAATGACGATAGATCGGCGGGTTCATGGTTGACACAGGATCGATGGGTAAGTTGGCCTTGGATTAGCTGAGACTTGTGCTTTGATTTCGAAAATTTCCTCAGAAATTGATCCTCGGAATTTCTGGAGCTTGAATAAGTCGACCGAATGTTCCCTGTGTGAATATTAGAAAATTGTCTTCTTATAGAGCTCGATGAGTAGAATCCGTTGATACAAGGTAAACTGTTATCGGGAAAGACATTGTGTGACATTTGTTGCACGGAAGCTGCTGATCGCATCCATGGTGGCCTTGCCATCGAGAGGTAACTCTGTGAAGTGTGGTGCATTAAGATCCCTGCACCGCATGATAGTCCCTCACCAGCACGCAACACAAGCACTCTAAGGCGCGCTACGCGAAGACCTGAAGAGCAAGGCCAAAGGTGTATCCTCGCAAGCGCGCCAAGCACCTCACTCGCTGCCCGTTGCATATAGTGCGCATCTTGCTTCCCACACCTGCTTCGCGCAGCTAACACCGTGAGAGCGATGCCCGCCTTCCGCATTCCCTCTTTCCCGTACTATAATCGCCTCCCCTATCACCCGCATCCCGTCAAACCGCTTCCCCTGTTTCCCGCTGATTTTCCATCCTCGCTTCCCAACCCTCATCCGGATTCCAGCGTACCCGCTTTCACCCAGCACGCAATCTCCTCCCCCCCCTTTCCCATCCTCAGCCCATCCCACGTCCTCCCATCGCCAATCCCTGCCCTATCGCAGCGCCAATCCCCGCCCTATCGCAGCGCCAATCCCCGCCCTATCACAGCACCAATCCCGCCCTATCGCAGCGCCAATCCCTCCCTTCCACGCGCTTGCCCTGTTCGCCTCTCTCCCATGCTCCCCTCTCCCATGCTCCCGCTCCCCAATGCTCCCCTTTTCCGTTCTCCCCTCTCCCGTTCTCCCCTCTCCCTTGCCCTCTCCCTGGTTAGGGGGGATCCACGCTCTCTTTGGGGTTGGCAGGAGGGCTATGGGAGGGGGGGAAGCAGGGCAATGGAAGTGGGGGAATCAGGGCAATGGAAGGGGGGGAAGCAGGGCAATGGAAGGGGGGGAAGCAAGGCAATGGAAGGGGGGGAAGCAGGGCAATGGAATGGGGGGAAGCAGGGCAATGGAAGGGAGGGAAGAAGGGCAATTGAAGGGGGGGAAGCAGGGCAATGGAAGGGGGGGAAGCAGGGTGATGGAAAGGGGGGAAGCAGGGCTATGGAATGGGGGGAAGCAGGGCAATGGAAGGGGGGGAAGCAGGGCAATGGAAGGGGGGGAAGCAGGGCAATGGAAGGGGGGGAAGCAGGGCAATGGAAGGGGGGGAAGCAGGGCAATGGAAGGGGGGGAAGCAAGGCAATGGAAGGGGGGGAAGCAGGGCAATGGAATGGGGGGAAGCAGGGCAATGGAAGGGAGGGAAGAAGGGCAATGGAAGGGGGGGAAGCAGGGCAATGGAAGGGGGGGAAGCAGGGTGATGGAAAGGGGGGAAGCAGGGCTATGGAATGGGGGGAAGCAGGGCAATGGAAGGGGGGGAAGCAGGGCAATGGAAGGGGGGAAAGCAGGGCAATGGAAGGGGGGAAGCAGGGCTATGGAAGGGGGAGGACCTCGGGCAATGTGAGGGGGGGAAGCAGGGCAATGGAAGGGGGGGAAGCAGGGCAATGGAAGGGTTTACTCTCTCTCCCTCTTTCTCTCTCACTCCCTCTCTCTCGCCCCCCCCCTCTCCACGCTCTTGCTCTCTCTCTCTCTCTCTCTCTCTCTCTCTCTCTCTCTCTCTCTCTCTCTCTCACACACACACACACACACACACACACACACACGGTCTATCTTTCCACCTCTCTCTCTCACTCTCTGCCCCCCTCCACTCACTCCTTCAAATGCCCTTCTCACTCTGGTTTTTTATTTGTCACCGTCCAACTGTCCCCACTGCTTCCAACGCCACTCCTCACTATCCCCGCGCCTATCCTTCCTATCCCCGCGCCTATTTCTTCCTAAACCCATTCCGCCTTAGATTCCTTCAGACCCGCTGCTCCCATACCGTCTTACCCCCTGCTCCCATTCCGTCTTACCCCCTGCTCCCATTCCGTCTTACCCCCTGCTCCCATTCCGTCTTACCCCCTGCTCCCATTCCGTCTTACCCCCTGCTCCCATTCCGTCTTACCCCCTGCTCCCATTCCGTCTTACCCCCTGCTCCCATTCCGTCTTACCCCCTGCTCCCATTCCGTCTTCCCCCTGCTCCCATTCCACTGGGTGGGGAATCACAGTGCTGTGAGGGGGGAAGCACAGAGGACCCCCCCAGTGATGCTGGGCGAGGACGGCATGGTCGTGCGCATTGCCCCTTGGTGTCAATAGCACCGGCCACTCCAGTCCTCCGTGCAGCACCCGCGTCCCCATCCACCTCCCGTCCTCTCCCCATCCCCCTCCCATCCTCCCATGGGGTACGCATCGCACGCTGTGGCTCCTCCCTTACTGCCACCTGGATCCTCCCGGTCTGCCCCATTTTCAGTTTGTGCGTCGAAGTGGCCACTGTGCCAAGGGGAATTTTGCAGGTCAAGGTGAGGGAAAACGGGACAACATCCTGGGTTCTCTCCTGTTCCCTCCTCTCCTGTTCCCTCCTCTCCTCTCCTCTCCTCTCCTCTCCTCTTCCTCTCCTCTCCTCTCCTCTCCACTACTCTCCTCTCCTCTCCTCTCCTATCCTCTCCTCGTCGTCTTCATCTCCTCACCTCCCCTCTCCTCTCCTCTCCTCTCCTCTCCTCTCCTCTCCTCTCCTCTCCTCTCCTCTCCACTCCTCTTCCATCTTACTTGGAGTCCATCCAGGACCCACTCGGCAGGGCATCACGTGCCCAAGCTCCCAAAACCGAACCCAAGCCCACCCATTCTTTCCAGTTGGTGGTGCAATAAGACTAGCCGCATGCAGCCCTTTCTGGCTTGGTGGCACTCAGAGCCATAGACAGTGAGTTTGTAAAGCCTCCTAGATGGTGTAGAGAGGCTAGCTGTATTAATAAATATCACCCTGTCGAGAGCACCGGAAGCATAAGCTCCTCGGATGGACATAAGTATCACGCCTTGAAATGTTACGTACGCCTTGCCAGTGAGAACAATTGTGGCCATGTCAAGGCATCAGTGTTAGTGGGACATGCCAGGTAAAAAATGATGGTGTGCGAGAATATTCCTACCCAAACCTGCCTGCGCCAGCGCCCCACCAGCACCACGCGCGTGCACCACAATCACTGCCCAGATTACAGACCCTTCCCCCCAATGGCACGCGTGTGGCCAGGGCCATAAATTGGTTTTAGGCCACCCTTAGGAATCAGGGTACATCGAAAGTTTTACCCTGGTATGTAGGGTGGAAACTAGCGTACCCTGTCAAAATCAGGGCGTTTTGGGAAAACCAAAGCAATACCCTGATGCTGCCAGGGCAACTTTTTCCTCACACTGATTGTCTCTGCCTGAAAACAACACGCATATTTCCAACTTGTACCAGTTTTTTCCTAACGTGCTTCGGGACCTTGGTCATTTTTTCTGACGGCTCTTGGTGTTTGCGACTAGGTTTACTGATGTGGCACTTGCACGCGTCAACTTGCGATATGTCGCGCGCTACATTTTTCGTGCATGCTTCGGAAGCAGTGATTGAGAGATAGCGGGAGGGACCAAGTCATGGAACGGGGAGGAGGTGGAGCAAGTGAGAATGGGCTGGGAAGAACGTGCTGCGAATTTCGGGGACAGGGTCTGGGCTGCGTGGCCGAGGGCACGTGTCTTAGAGTTCTAATTGGCGAAACAAGTTCCAAAATTGGCGAAACTTTTGCCCCAGGTTGAATCCGCGAAGCCGCATCAAAATGCACTGCGATCCGTCTAACCAGCCCGAGTTCCGGAACTTTCTGGATTTCAGAAATGTAAGACACACGCCTGGATTCCCCGTCATCGCAGATTCGATAGTTGCCGAGCTTCAAGGGTTCGGAGTTTTCTGTTTCAGGGTAGTTTTTGGTGCTCCCTGACTCGTCAGGGCAATACGTCAAGCACCCTTACTACAGCAGGGTAAAATATTCCTTACACTTTTTGAGAAAGGGTCACAAACTTTTTACCGTTAGAAAATCAGGGTATTCCTGAAAAAAAGGCCGTTGGTAAGGGTAATCAGGGTGGAATACCCTTGAATCACGGGCCCTGCGTGTGGCCCTCGCCCCCAAACCTATCCCACCCAGTCTCCCACCAAGGGAGCCTCAACCTTTGCTTCATGCCCGAGTATTCCCCTTGGCTCCACGCATAGCAGCGAGGTGTGCACGGAGACTTCCTGCAGTGGGGAAGGGTTGGAGGGGGAGGGAAATGGTGGAGTAAGGAGGGGCTTGGAGGTTGCGATGCCACTTCCACATAGCAGCTGCCCACGCAATATCCATCAGTCATGGTTGGGTGCATATGCGCCATGCCTATGCATCTTGCACACACGCCGCACCTCACTGACCCCGCTCCACAACCCGCTGACCCACGCACTTCGCACCTTTTTCACATCTCCCGTACTGCATACACCCCTCACCCACGCACTGCACACCTCTCTCACCTGCACACCACTATCAAGTGGACCCACTCCACCACTGCCGCCCGCCAGCCCCCGGTATTCCGGGGCACTGGACAAGTCTCGCCCTGTCCCCTCCCCGCCATTCCATCACCCCCTTCCCCCTCCTCCCCCCCCCCCCCCCCCCCACCACCACCCCACCACTACATTCTTCCACATTAGACCATCATCCCCTGCTCCAAACCAGGCTTGACCTACTCACCACCGCTCTGCCCACCCCTCTCTCCCTTGCTGCACCCATCCCTCTCTCCCTCTCTCTGCCCACCCCTCTCTCCCTTGCTCTGCCCACCTCTGGCCAGCCAACGATGCCCCACGCTCTCTTCCCCGCTCTGCCCATCCCTCACAGTGGCACAGCAATGACTTGGGCAGGGAGGGGGGGGGTAGGCAAGCCCTAGGCACAGGGAAAGCAAGTTTGAAGGTACGACATTGGTGCAAGGAGCATGTGACAAGTCGCGCACACTATGCAATACGGGGAGAGTGGGAATAGGGAGTCGAGGCATAAGGAAGCATGGGGTGCTATTCGCACCTGCAAGCATGGGGCTCAGCCTCGACGGCGCATGGCGAGATCTGCTGTGGAAGCGGAGGGACCTCGGCGCCCTCCCTGTTGCTTGTGGTGGGTGCCCTAAAGAAGGAGCAGTGAGGTGGCGCATAATCAAGACCGATTGCCGGCAAGGTTGCAGCATAGGCATAGGCCTAGACATGTGCATCGACATGGCAACAGCTGGGGCACAGCAATGACTTGAGCAGAGGGGGGGGGGCGGTGGGTGGGGGGGGGGGGGTTTAGGCAAGGCCTACGCAAAGGGAAAGCAAGTTTGAAGGTACGACAATGGTGCAGGGAGCACATGACAAATCGCATTACGAAAGTAGGTGTGGGGAAGTGAGGCGTTTTTCAATGTACAGGTGACAAAAAAATTATGGTTTGATACATTATTGTATTTGCACGTGTTGCTACGGGGATGGGTGACGAACATGTGCTTCGAATGGCTGACTCTAGCCTGCCTCCTTACCTCGCCGGCGCCTCGTGAGCTGTCGATGCGTTCCCCTCTATCGGTTGCGCATGGGGTGCGCGTGTCGACACCGTAAGGCCCTCTTCGCCACCCCCCCCATGGCGCTCACCACAAGATGGGGAACCCTCCGTTCCCTCTGCAGCACTCCCCTCTGTGGGGTAGCATAAGCACAAAGGAGGACCTATTTTTCCACTCCCGCGAGGCAGGCTCATGCGTCCATCACACGCCGACTCCCAAATCCCACTACTGCATCCCCTACCAAAGATCCAGAATGCCTTACCCTTTTGTGCCTCGTAGGCTTGCCCTTGGCGTGCGCTACCCCATCCACTTCCCTCAGCCAGTCTATACTTTCCGGCCTTTGCCCACTTGCAAAGCAGAAAACCGAATTTGACCCTAGGGAGAGCCCCAGTGGTTCGGGCTAGGAGTTGTGCGGCAGAGGCGGGTCCACCTCTCATACGGCTCACGAATATGATCCCATATGCTTTCTTGTGTCCCTCCAACAGCTTTGATGCGGCTTTGGCATCGTCTTGGAGGACTGTGGGATTGATAGATATACGACACGGGGGATGTGTGCAAGATTGGACCCATAACTGTTGGTAAGAACCCATTGAAACACCACCCACATCTGTCGCCCATCATTATCAAGCTCACCTCCAGCTAGCGCAGCCTCCTCGAGGCTCTCCACTGCGGCCTTGGCATGTTGGGCAAGGAAATAAATCAGATCGTCCACTATGGCGACCCTGTCCTGTAGCCTACACTTCCCCGTCAAACCAACACGCCACACCGTGACGTGAGGACCCACGTGGCATGTCATGGGCACCGGGCCTTGGCGGGCCCCTGACACCACCTGCTGTGCTGGGTGTGTTCCTCCTCCCACATGCAACGCCATTTTGCACGTGCACTGCTGGCTGGTCAGCAAATGATGGGGGGTGGGGGGAAGAGGGAGGGGTGGAGTGCGTCGCCAGGTGAGCATGGAGGGCGGACTTTGGATGGGGTGGAGGTGGACTCTGGATGGGGTGGAGGTGGACTCCGGATGGTGCGGAGGTTGACTCTGGATGGGGTGGTGGTGGACTCAGGATGGGGTGGAGGTGGACTCTGTATGGGGTGGAGATGGACTCTAGATGGGGTGGAAATGGACTCTGGATGGGGGAAGCTTGGCTCTAGTTGGGTGGGAGGTGGCCACTGGATGGGGAGAGGTGCTGTCACAGATCCAAGATTTAGCGGAAGATTGAATGATACTAATTGAGAATTCAATGAATACAAGCAAAGACACAATCCTATTTATACCTACGAGAACTCTAGGGAACGTTAACAAATACCTTCTAAGAGAGTTTTAGAAATGAGTAGAGCCGTCCGTAGGGACACCACCTAGAAGCATGGTAGGGATTCTAGAGATACAGTGGCGGTGACAGATCACTCCCCGCCATAGAAAACGTGTCTCGCAAGGAAAGTCCAGAACACTCTAACACATATGATATATAATATATCAATGTGTAGGAAAGAGTGTAGGGATTTCCAGGAAAGGAAAAACACACAAAATAACATATAATAAAATAGCAAATGGTAAATGGTTGTGATCAAGGATTCCGCAAGCCTCATCCTTTTACAGGTGCACTCCGGATGGGGGGAGGGTGGACTCTAGATGGGAGGCGGGTGGACTCTGAATGGGAAGATCTAGACTCTGGAAGAAAGGGAGGTGGACTTTGGATGGGGAAGGTGGACTAAGGGAGGGGCGGTGGTGGACTCTGGATGGGGTGGTGGTGGACTGTGGATGGTGGGGAGGTGGAATCTGGATGGGGGGAGGCTGTACTCTGAATGGGGGAATCTAGACTCTGAAAGAGAGGGAGATGGGCTTTGGATGGGGGAGGTCGACTCTGGATGGGGTGGTGGTGGACTGTGGATGGCGGGGAGGTGGGCTCTGGATAAGGGGAGGGTGGACTCTGAATGGGGGAATCTAGACTCTGGAAGAGAGGGAGGTGGACTTTGGATAGGGGAGGTGGACTCAGGATGGGGCAGTGGTGGACTCTGGATGGGGTGGTGGTGGACTGTGGATGGTGGGAAGGTGGACTCAGGATGGGGGGAGGGTGGACTTTGAGTGGGGGAATCTAGACTCTGGACGAGAGGGAGGTGGACTTTGGATGGGGAAGGTGGACTCTGGATGGGGTGGTGGTGGATTGTGGATGGCGGGGAGGTGAACTGTGGATGGGGGGAGGGTTGACTCTGAATGGGGAATCTAGACTCTGGAAGTGAGGGAGGTGGACTTTGGATAGGGGAGGTGGACTCAAGGTGGGATGGTGGTGGACTTTGGATGGGGTGGTGGTGGACTGTGGATGGTGGGGAGGTGGACTCTGAATGGGGGCATCTAGACTCAAGAAGAGAGGGATGGATGGGGGAGGTGCACTCAGGATGGGGGGAGGGTGGACTTTGAAGCGGGGAAGCTGGACTCTGGATGGGAGGGAGCTGGACTCTGGAAGGGGGAGGTGCACTCTGGACGCAGCTGAGGTG